TCTTGGTTCTCCCTCCTTTTTTTTTCTTTAATAAATGAATGGGAGACGGCGACATAACCACAAAATGATGTACGTCGAGTCCGAGGTAACCTGAGGACTGTCTGTATATACTCTCCTGCCTATAAGTTTCAAAGTTCCTCTGCTGAATAATTTGTTACCAGATTAGTTCTCAAGGTCCCTTTTTACTTTGTTGTTACTTTTTCAGAACTCATGAGAAGTACCTGGCAATTTTATCTTGCCAAGCCTTGAAGTCTGGCTTCTCTGCTTAGGGAGTAAAACTATCCTTTTTTCCCTTTTCTTAGGTTGAGAGCCAGGCCAAGAGACATTGTGAAAGTTTAAGAAATTTTATTGCATTCTCTCAGCCAACACAGCTGGCTGAGACAAGTGTGTTGGTTGTCAGCTCCAAAGGGACGTCTAGGTTCTCTTATATAGGGTAGAAGTGTGAAATATAGGGTCAGGGTATGGGTGCATGAGTCAGTCAAGCAGAGAGGAGGGCATGAGTTGGTCAAGGGAGGAGGATGCGGAGGACAGTCAAGCGAAGGGGGATTCATCTTATCTTGCTTCTTCAGGCGCCAGCTGTCTGCGCCAAGCTATGGGAAAAGGCTTGTAATATATATTTCAGAAAACATGTCCATATAGGAGAGATTAAGGGTAATTCATCCTAACACCCTTCTCTCTTCCTTTTCTGCATTCTCTCAGTGAGGCGTTTGTCCTTGGCTGGGGAAGATAATTGCTTGTTATTTGCAAGCTGGCTGCAAATTGCCCACACTGTTTGGCTTTGTTTTAACTTTTTATCTCAGTGTCCATATTCCTCCTGCCTTGGAATCCTCCAACAAAAGCACAAGCTTATCATTTTAGAATTCACCTTCTCTTCCCCAGTCCTAGAAGAAGCTAACCATTTCTTATTTGTGACCTCTGTTGGGTCAAGTATGCTTGGCCTCTAGGACATCCTGTTCCTTCCTTAATTTGAGGAATGCCAGTTACTGAATCCCCATTATCTAAGGTTTCTTTGTTTCATTAGAGTCTGAGCAACTTTTCTTCATTTTGCTCTTGTTTTAGTAGGCAGAGAATGGAGGTTCAGGTGTTTCCTGATTGCCTTTACCCAGTGGTGTTTTTTATTCTGTATCTTTTCTGCAAAGCTTCTATAGTCAGAGAAAATCCTGGATGATTTTCCTCTATTGTCCTTTTTTGTTCCATCAATCACACTGAAGCTGAAACCGGACAACCAACAACCAGTTGGTCCTGGCTGCCTGTCACTAATTGAGCCAATACAGCAGAGACAGGATTGAATCAAATGAGCATTTATTCCAATAATCCCAGCAGTATGGGAAAGTAGCAGGTCAGCCACGAAAATCTGCTCTGTACATCCCCCCCCCCAATCTGCTCTGTACACCCCTCCAGCAGCCAGTTGCTTATATGGGGTACCTGGACAAAGATAACATGGGGAAGTGGGCAAAGGAATAAGAATGTGTATGATGGTTACAGATTACAGGCAATGTAGGCAATGTGGCTGGGGGTTTGCAAAGGGCTGGAAGCATCCGGGACTCCATTGTTTGCTTTCTGCAAAAAGGCTGTTAATCTTTGCATGGTAATAGGCAGATTTGGGATGGGGAGGGTGGGCTACATTTCCAGATGACCTCGCAGGTCCTGTATACAACTCCCAGCCAGGTTAGAATGTGCTGCCTTTAATCAGAACAAAACAATCACAGTTAACAGAGCATGATTAATATTTCTTACTAACATTTCTAATAGCTGTTAACATAAAAACACTTCAAACCTGAAAAGATTTTTTGTGAGTTTATTTGAGCCAAACTGTCGACAATTGCTGGGAAGCAGAACCCCAACCGATTGAGATAATGCTCCAAAGAACTACGGTTACTTCTGTATTTATACACTAGAGGCCCAATGCATGAAATTTGTGCAAGAGTAGGCCTTCTTCTCTCCCCTATCCTCCTGCTGCTGGTACCCGGGACCCAGGCTTCCCTTGCAGAGGGAGGCCCCGCCCACCTGCCGCAGCCTGCCAGTCAGTGTCCTGGGCCTCCCTCTGTGGGGTGATCATGGGGCAATGGTTTGGCCCCCAACCAATGGCATCGCACCTGCCTTGGCTGGCCTGGCACCAGTGAGTGTAATAGCGTGGTCCCGGATGGTGTTCCGCTCTTCGGCCTTTTGGTTGATTTGCATATTGCACTTTTATTATATAGGATAGGATTGCAGTCAGCGGAAGGAAGGGATATAGGTGGGTTACATGAAATCCATTAGTGATAGACTAGAGAGGCAGGAGAAAGCAACATGGGGGTTGGGGGGACCCCTGGGATTGGATAAAAAGTAAAATGATAGACACATACTTAGGGTGGGTGCAGGAACAATTAATATAACAATGAAGGAACTTGTGGTATCTGTCCTGGTGCCCAGGCACATTAAGTTGTGCCCCAAGGGTCTGGAAAAGGGGAAGTTACAACAAGTTACCTAGACATTTCAAGGGTATGTTATTATAGATGCAAAAAGACAGGCTCAGTTAAGGTAAAGGTTGACCTTGTCAGTGACGATACCGGCCTAGGAAGTAACTACCCACTATAACTGCTTTTAGTTAAAGTTTAATTTCAGACTCTTCTTTGTGGTTACTTTAGGTCTCTGAGTTTGCAAGACCACCATGCAGACCTTCCCTGAGCTTGTCAGGTTAGCATGTGGCCCCTTTTCGTCCACATAGCTAGTCCCCAGTATTCTATTTCTGCCCCTAATAAAACCACTGTCAACTATTGGCAACTCTTTAGGCTTCTATTGAGTTGCTATTTATCACATAGTGGGAAAGAGGGGCTCATAGAAGAACTGTGTCTTCCTGAAGGGGAATAAAATTTGAGGATCTTTAAAATCTTGACTACTCACCTCTCCATCCTACTACATTGAGAGGGAAGAGGTTGGGCAAAGTGAAAGAGGAATTATGGGGCTGGTCTTGGAGCCTTTCAGTGTGACCATAATTATCTGCCTTTAGGTAAAGACAGTTATGTATGTCTCTACTATACATTGGGCTTCTTTTCAGTCTTGGTAATTACTTTGTAATTTATACTTCTGTTGAGCATTAGGTTCTGAAGAATTTTTGAGAGTTTAAAGTGTATGGCTAGTGAGTATTATAACTCCCAGCACAGGATTCCTGTCACTAGCCCATTGCCACATACATATATATATATATATATATATATATATATATATATGTATATATAGTACATATTTGCTGAGTTAACATTCTGTGGAAGAATTCAATGGTTTTTGTGTCATAAGGCTAGACTCCCAAGATACTTTTCTTTGTCTCTCTAGTTATTGAGAAATATTTTCTTCTGTTTTTCTCTTCTAAACTGTTGGATAAAATAGTAGTTTGTATATGAATTTTTAACTTGAATATTTATTTCTCACAGAAGTTAACTATAGCTAAAGATACTTGATGTCTTTGGTCTGGCATGATTAGTATTTCCTTTTTTAAAAAAATATATTTTATTGATTCTTTACAGAGAGGAAGGGAGAGGGATAGAGAGTTAGAAACATCGATGAGAGAGAAACATCCATCAGCTGCCTCCTGCACACCCCCTACTGGGAATGTGCCTGCAAACAAGGTACATGCCCTTGACCGGAATCGAACCTGGGACTCTTCAGTCCGCAGGCTGACGCTCTATCCACTGAGCCAAACCAGTTAGGACTGATTAGTATTTTCTGTGATAGGTTTTTTTATGTTTATATGATGTCAAAGACTTATTGGAATAGTTGTAAATTCAGCAATAAGAGATGCTTGAAATCTAGACTAATAAGCTCTTTGGGTTGAAATAATTTTTTACTAAGTATTACAGAATACAATTATATGGTTTATCGCATAGAATCTTAATTTGTAGGTGTCAAATATAAAATCTGTACATAAGAAACAAGCTAAAACAAGTCTAAAACTATGTATGCTCAAGTATGATGCCCTCAAAAAATTTTACATAGCACTAAAAATTTTTAAAGTTAGAATGGATATAATTTACTTTTGACTTGAGGGTTTTTCAACTAAAACCTCATAATTGAAATGATCTGCAGCATAACAAAATCAGGTCTGGGGATTGTTTAACTAAAAAATGAATAGATTTTTCAGCTTTCATTAGGATATATGATTGTATCTGCTGCCTTAAAATTTATATCTAGTGGAGAAAATCATGTTCATAAAACTTAATCTTTTATGACCTAATTAGTGGCCTGGTGCACAAAATTCATGCGGGGGTGGGGTGGGGTGGGGGTTGTCCCTCAGCCTGGCTTGCACCCTCTCCAATCTGGGACCCCTCTAGGGATGTCTGACTGTCTAAACCAGCAGTTGAACATCCCTCTCGCAATCCAGGACTGCTGACTCCTAACTGCTCACCTGCCTGATCGCCCCTAACCACTCTGCCTGCCGGCCCGATCGCCCCCAACTGCACCCCTCCTCGCCAGCCTGATCACCCCTAACCACCTCTGCCTCGGCTCTGCCACCATGGCTTTGTCCAGAGGACATCCGGAAGATCTCCCGGAAGGTCTCTTAGTCTAACTAACATATTACCCTTTTATTAGTATAGATATAATACCATATGCAGAGTCATTGAATGCTTTTTGATGCTAATATTAGGTGGGAACCTATAAGACTTTAGGTTCAAGTAAATTTCAAAAACAGATGTTCAAAATTCAATTCTTAGAGCTATTAAGTAGATGTTTTGGTGAATACCCCTTCCCCACCCCAAATCTTCACCTAAGGATATGTTCTGAGAGAGAGAGAGAGAGAGAGAGAGAGAGAGAGAGAGAGAGAGATCCATTGCCTCCCCTAAGCGCCTGGACCTGGGATCAAATCTGAAAACTTTTGGTGTATGGGACAACACTGACTTGTGAGCTACAGGTTATCCAGTGTTATTATGAACCAGTTAAACCTTTTAACTAGTATAATGTTATTATGGAAAGCAAACTTAACTTTTTCTGCACCAAATAATGATAATGGTTGATTTCACATTGAATTACAGGTTCTTCTGGGCCCCTGCTGAAGATCTGTTCTGAAAATTGTGATTAAGTACAGTTTTTGATAGAGGAAATTTGTTGCTTCTGTTTATCAAGATGATTACAACACCTTCAAAACATCCAGGAATTCACTTGTCTTCAGAGACCTCTTCTCAAAGGAGAAATATGCCCATTCACGCAGTCTTTTTTGACAGCATCCCTTCAGGAACACTTACACCTGTAAAAGATTTGCTGAAATATCAGAACTCCTTTTTAAAATTGAATGACCAGAAAAAGAATCAATTCTCAGAAATGACATTTTTTCAAGATAAAAATGTATTTCATTCTACCATGCTAGCAGAGCCTAGCACCTCTAACAGTCTTCTTAATATTGATATCAGTGCTATAAAGCCCAGTAAGGATGGATTAAAAAATAAAGCAAACTATGAATCACCAGGAAAAGTATATCAAAGAATGAAAGAGAAGGTAATGTGTAATAAGCAAGAAAAAGCATCACCAAAAAGTGAAAGTAACAAAATTTTTATGCATAATGGAGCTGAGAAAAGAGTATTGCAGCATACCTACCTCTGTGAAGAAAAGGAAAACAACAAATCATTTAGATCAGAAAACAGCTTATTAAGAGGTTAGTTATATTATGTGTTGGTTAAAAAGCTCTAATGTGTTATTTATTATGTCTGGCACTGTTTTAGGTACTCAGGTGACAGCCGTGAACAAAATGGACAAAAATCCCTGCCCTTTTGTAGCTAACTCACATTCAGGTGGTGAGGATCAGATACAGTAGGTAATTTTTATGGTACAGTAGAAGTGTTATGGAAAGAAATACATAGCAGGTTAAGGATGATAGGGAGAGTTAGAGCAGGTTGTAATTTTCAGTGGGGTAGTCAGGATATGCTTCCAAGAGAATGTGGCATTTGAGCTGAAAAACTAAAGAAGGTGATAGATACAGATAGGTATCTTGGAGAATGGGGAAGGATCATCCAGACAGGTAACAGCTGGTACAAATGCCCTGAAATTTCTGTTATTTCAGGAGTGTGCCTCACAAATTCAAGGACTAGCCTTGAGATTAATGTATCATGGAGTGAGTGTACAGAGCTGGGGAGGTAAGGATAAATAAGAGGGTCAGGTAATGTAGAGCCTTAATAGGTGAATGTAAGAGTTTCAGCTTTTATTGTGAGCAAAAATAGGGAACCATTGGGAGGTTTTGAGAAGAGGAATGATAAGATCTGACTTACATTTTTAAAGTATCACTCTGGCTGTTAATTTGAAATAGTTATTGCAGTAATCCAGGTGAGAGATGGTTTTGGCTTGATCCAAGTGGTAGCAGTGAAGATAAGAAGTGGTTGGATTCTGGATATATATTAAGAAAAGCCAATCACATTAGCCCATACAGGGCATGTGGAATGTTAGAGGGGTTATAAAGGCTGACTCCAGAGGGTGGTTTTTTTCTGTTGTTGTTTGGCTTTTTTTTTTTATTACCCAAGCAACTGGAAAGATGTGATTTATCTGAAATGTAGCAGATTGAAGGAGAAGTGGGATCAGGATCTCAGTCATTTTTGTCATGTGAATTTCTATATGTCTTTTAAAAATTTAGGTGTAGATGTGAATTAGGCTGTTGAAAAAAATTAGTTGGAATTAAAGGGCATAGTACAGGTGAGAAAAAATATATTTGGGAATTACTAGTACCTAAATGGTCTTTAAAACTGTGAGATGAGATGTGATCATCAAGGAGTAAGTGTAGAAAGAGAAAACATTCAATAATGAGTCCCAAAATTTACAAGTTAGAATAAAGGATAGAAAGTAATAAGGCCACTTAGAAGATAGGAAGAAGAAAAATTAGGATTGATACTTTGACAGCCAAGACAACAAAATGCTTTAAAGAAAGTCATTAGCTGTGTCTAATACTGCAAAATCAGTCGGGTAAAATAAAGGTTGAGTGAGAATTGACCATTGGGTTTAAGAATGTGGAGGTCATTGGAGACCTTGATTAGGATAGTTTTGGTGGAATGATGGAAGCAAAAATATGATACAGGAGTGTTTAAGAGAGAATAGAGAGAGAAGTTGACAGTGGTGAATATAGACAACTGTTTTTGAGAGGAGCTAAAAAATATGACAAGATTGGTTTTAAAAGATTTTATCGTTTTTAATGATTGGTGAAATAACATTTTTGTATGCTATTGGGAATAATCCAGTAAGGAAGGAAAAACTGAGATTAGAAGTCTGATACCCTCCAGTAGCTGAGAAAGAATAAAATATAAAAGTGGAGATTTGGCAGCTCTAGCCGGTTTGGCTCAGTGGCTAGAGCAGTGATGGCGAACCTATGACACAAAATCAACCTGATTTTGGTTGATTTTTCTTTGTTAAATGGCATTTAAATATATAAAATAAATATCAAAAATATAAATCTTTGTTTCTCTGTCTCTCCCCCTAACTTCCATTCTCTAAAAAACCAATGAAAAAAAAATATCCTCGGGTGAGGATTAACACACATAATAATAATAATAATAATAATAATAATAGTAATAATAAATAAAAGTGGAGATTTAGGAACATAAAACAGATCATCAATCAAACAGGAAGATAGGCAGTGTTGTATTACTTGAGAAATAATCTGAAATAGGAAGTAAAGTCAGCAGCTGTGAGTGAGTATAGGAAACAGGTATTGAAATTTGAGGAGGTATGGAGGTTTGAATAGTGTAGGAGAGTGGAAGAGTGAATGGTCTAGGCTTAAATTTAATTTTCTGGGCAACATTAAGAACGTAGCTGAGATTTGTGGACATGAATTTAAATAAGACCAATCAGTGTGGTTGTGAGTATTCCTGTTGCCCTATTAGCTGTATAGGTGCTGGTGGGGAATAGGCAAGGAGTTGGATTTTAACAGGATTGTAATTTTGCTAAATAGGATGAAGTGAGAGAAAGACGAAGTAGTTGGAGTTGTGTGTGCAAGGTGATAACCACAATTGGCCATGTAATTTAAGTTGGTTAGACAAGGAAAGGAGGACACTGAAAGAGATGAGGAAGTGTGAAGTGGTGTAGGTCATATTGGGATGGTCAATGGATTTGAGAGAATGATCTGAAAGATAGAAAGTGGTCAAAAAATGGGACATTTGAAATTGAGATTTTAGTGAGTTCAGTAATTAATAAAGATATTTTACATCTGTTAACTCATTTAGCCCTTTGAGCAAACGATATGCTAGATGCTACTTTAATAGACTAGGAAATGGAACTTACAAAGAGGTTTTATCTGCCCTATGTGTCACAGATAGTAAGTGATGGGCTGAGAATTAAATACAGGTATCTATTTGAAAGCCCACAGTCTTAACTACTACACAATAGATTGTGGGTGCATTGTTATGTTTCAAAGACAGTTATATATTTTGACACAAAAAGAGTTCTCTAGGTGAATTTAGGCTGGAGGTGGGGGAGTACACAAAATAGTCTGTTTCTCATACAGCCTGGGAGAAAAGGGAGAAGCAAATGGAATATGCACATGAAAGCACATATTATATGTAATTTGGAATTAGAAGAAGAAATGAGTAACTGACTGACTGCCTTGATAATCTGATGACTCTTTCCCCAGATAAGACACATATATACAACACAAATTTTGTATGTAGTTTCAGAGACCCTCTGCATGGATGTTGATCTCTGAAATAAATGACCCAGGTTATAAACAGCATGTTATATTTGATCAAATTATCTGCTTTTCTTTACTGCATTGCCCTGCCATTTCTGTAGAATAAGTTAAATAGAAATTTATCCTTTTATAGCATGTCATTATAATAACATCTTTATAGCCCAGCTGGCGTGGCTCAGTGGTTGAGCATTGACCTATGAACCAGGAGGTCACGGTTCAATTCCCAGTCAGGGCACCTGCCAGGTTGTGGGCTCAATCCCCAGTGTGGGGTGTACAGGAGGTTGCCGATCAATGATTCATTCTCATCATTGATGTTTCTTTTTAATTTTTTTTAGAGAGGGAAAGACAGAAACATCATTGTGAGAGAAACACATCAATTGGTTGCCTCCTGCACATATCCCAACCAGAGCCCGGGCTGGGGAGGAGCCTGCAACCAAGGTGGGTGCCCTTGACCAGAATTGAACCCTGGACCTTTTGGTCTACAGGCTGATGCTCTACCCACTGAGCAAAACCAGCCAGGGCTCATCATTGATGTTTCTATCTCTCTCTCTCCCCCTCTGCAATAATTAAAAAATTATAAAAAATAAATAAAATCTTTGTATTATGATTTCTAAGGCCAAAGTTGCACACTTATTAAAGCCTATTCACTCCTGATTTTTTTCAAGTATAATATTTGAAATTAAACATAAAATAATTTAGTTTAATGCTCTAGGTCAGCGGTTCTCAACCTGTGGGTCGCGACCCCTTTGGGGGTTGAACGACCCTTTCACAGGGGTCGCCTAAGACCACTGGAAAACACATATATAATTACATATTGTTTTTGTGGTTAATCACTATGCTTTAATTATGTTCAGTTTGTAACAATGAAATTGGGGGTCACCACAACATGAGGAACTGTATTAAAGGGTCACGGCATTAGGAAGGTTGAGAACCACTGCTCTAGGAGGTATAGCAGAATAAAATGTAAGCAATACTCAAAGTTCTTATTGTTTAGTTGATAAGCCTACCATATTTGTGCATTTGAAGATCTGCTAAAGAGCTGTCAAAGGGGTATAAATTATTACTGAATTTGCTATTGAGTTTCAACATTTTGATTTTTAAAATATAAGTTACAACTCGTCAACTCTTCTTTTACATTTTAGAAATTTACAGCACCCAGAAGCAGAATTTTCAAAACTGGATGGTACTTCACATATTATATATACCTGATTTTATTCCAGATCTCTAGGCTTCTAAGTTCAGTAGTATACTTTTGTCTAAAGTTGGCAAGATGTAACATGAAATTTTTAAAAATGCTTTCTCAGCCCGCCAGTGTGATTCAGTGGTTAAGCGTAGACCTATGAACCCCGGTCAGAGCATATGCCCAGGTTGTGGGCTCTATCCCTGGGAGGTGGAGTGCATGAGGCAGCTGATCAGTGTTTCTCTGGCATCATCAATGTTTCTCTATCTCCCTTCCTCTCTCTCTAAAAATAAGTTTAAAAAGCATATATATTTTTAAAAAGCTTTGAAAGGAGGTTTAAAAAAAATTCTCAGCATGATGTAAGTATAGAGAATGGGTTGAAGGCATGAGAAAATAATAAAGGAAAAAACTTATGTAACTAATATATTATAAAAGTCTATGTGCCTATATTTGTCTGGTCATTATTAAACCTAAATCTTTATTTAAATATTTTTAAAAGATATTTTTTTCCTTCTCAGTGACTAACATATCTCAACTTCTTTCTAAAAAAAAAATCTCAACCTCAGTCCAAGAAGTTCCTCTAGAACCATCAAATATCTTACTCCCGGTCAAGCCAAAGATTCAATGTCAACAGGCAAAGAAAGCGCCTCTGCACAATTTAACTTACGGTAAAGTGCTATTGGTTTTGTTTTATTTGACTGTATTGTTAAATGTTCTAGATAATTATTTTTCCCGTGTAGGCAATAAATTTTGACTGTGGATGAAAGATCTATACTAATAAAAGCCCATGTGGTTGTCACGCCCTCACGCTGTGATGCCTTCATGCCATAACAGTCCATCACCAGGAGGCTGCATGCACAGTGGGCGCGTGCGGAGCCTCGGAGGCGGGTCCCGGTGGCATTTCGTGACAAGGCCAGGGGTCCTGGCGGCTCCATGCGGTGAGGTCGGGAGTCCCAGCAGCTCCGCCTCTGCACAGCGAGGCCAGGGGTCCCGGCGGCTCCGCACTGAGCTGCTGAGGTGAGACCCCCTGTGTGGGGTCCCCCGGCTCCAGCTTATCTCTTTGGGGCAATCCATCAACGAGCCCCAGATGGGTGGGCAGGGCCTACCTCTTTGGGGAGATTGATCGTGGGGCTCCCACACTGAGAGGGCACAGGCCAGGCTGGGGAATCCCACCCCACCCCCACCCTGTGCACGAATTTCATGCAGCAGGCTTCTGGTGAAATCATAAAAGGCAGAAGCACTCAGACTGGGCAGGAGGGTGGAGTATTCTTAACCTGAAGACTTCTTTTTAATATTAAGTTTTAAATTTTCCTGTTTCTCTTTTAATTTCATATGATTCTTCTGAAAATTTTATTTGACTGTATTTTTTTTTTTGCAGAGCTTCCAGTTCTGAACCAAGAACATGAAAGTGTTTCAGCTGCGGTAGTCTCCAACAGGGCATTAACTAGAGCTCAGTTGGCAAAACAAATTCTTTTAAAGGAGAATACAGCTGCAACCACTAAGTTCAAAAAGAACACATTTGTTTTAGACGACATTAACTCTTCCTATGAAAAATTCCAAAATACTACTGCTGAGACTCTCAATACTAACTGTGTTTCTGTTAAAAATGACAGTCAATTAATGATTTCTGATAATGAGGTCAGAATAAAAGGGTCTTCACAACAGGAAATTAAGGGAAGAAATGAGAAAACAGTGCCCAGAGAAACTGATCTTCCAGGTTCCATAAACGACACATGTAAAATTGTGCTTGCAACTCCAGGGTTTAATGTAACAATACCTCAGGGATCAAAGAGATACACTTCAAAGATTCTTCCAAGTATATGCCAAACTACTACAAATGGAGTTAAAAATAATAAGGTAGGAAAACTTTTAAGGCAGATAAGTATTATCCCCTTCTTTAAGAGCTTGAGTTCTTATGCTCTCATTACTACTATTTAATGTAGAGACAGTGGGTTGAAAGCAAGAAGGCCCAGGTGTTAAGTCTTACCTTGGTTGATTATTAGTTGCATAGCCTTCAACAATTTACTTATTCCCTTTAGGGATGAACACTGATTTTATTCCTTTTTTTTTTAATATATTTTATTGATTTTTTACAGAGAGGAAGGGAGAGGGATAGGGAGTTAGAAACATCGATCAGCTGCCTCCTGCACACTCCCCACTGGGGATGTGCCCACAACCAAGGTACATGCCCTTGACTGGAATCGAACCCGGGAACCTTGAGTCCACAGGCCAACGCTCTATCCACTGAGCCAAACCGGTCAGGGCTATTCTTATTTTTAACTCCTCCCCCCCCTCCTAATTCTTGAGGTACTATTAACGACAAGAGAAAGGAACCACGTATAGCACCTAAAGATCTGAGAATTTTTTGTGTTGTAAAGTAACTGATCAATAAAAGACTTCAGACCATCCAACTGTGTTACATTAGGACAGTGATGGAGAACCTTTTGAGCTCGGTGTGTCAGCATTTTGAAAAACCCTAACTTAACTCTGGTGCCGTGTCACATATAGAAATTTTTTGATATTTGCAACCATAGTAAAAAAAAGATTTATATTTTTGATATTTATTTTATATATTTAAATGCAATTTAACAAAGAAAAATCAACCAAAAAAATGAGTTCGGGTGTCACCTCTGACATGCGTGTCATAGGTTCGCCATCTCAGCATTAGGACATTTGCTGAAGAAACTGGAACGGAACAGTAAGTTCAAGGAGGGAGAGATAAAAGGTTAAGTTTATAGTTGTTAAAGGTTTGTCCATTAATTTTTAAAAGGATGATGGTGGGCATTTTCCAGATAGAAGCCAGGGTCTTTATGAAGTTCTCAATTTCTACCCAACAGCTCCTTAAAATATTAAATCATGTCATCCTCTGCTCAAATTTCTCTAGTAATTTCTTATCTCAAGAGAAAACACTAAGCCTGTACCATGGTTTACAGAACTGTACAAAATTCAGTTCCTGAGATATGCAGCCTCATCATATAGAGCTCAACAAATATTTGCTGAGTGAATATTTTGACATTCTATATAAGCAATATTGTATGGGGTTCTAAAGCCTGAATTCCAGTTTTGTAACCCATCTGTGCCACTAACTAGCTATGTGTGACATGGGCAAGTTATTTATATTACTTAACTAGGCCTTACAGAGTTTCTTTATCTATAAAATGAAGTTACTATCTCCCAGTGTTAGGAGAATAATCTGAGTCAATGCATCTAAAGTGCTTGGGACACTATCTAGTATAGCTTTTATTTTTACTACCATCTGACTTACTTGATGTATGTATCTCAGGTGGTTCCCAATGTGGAAGTAGAAAGAATTTTATTGTCTCTTCCCCAAATCCTACCTATAATTTTTTAAATGAACATAAATGTGAAGTACAATAACTAAGAGCACTGTTCCATTTTTAACATCTTTTTCTGACTCAACATAAACTACCACTGGAGAGTGTCTTTATATATAAACTTATTATTTTATGTATAAAGTAAATGACTTGTCAAATTAGTCATTTTATGACCTTGGGCTACATATCTCATCAGAATTAGTTCAATGTTAAGTTGTTACATAATAGAAACAATTTCCTACCACTGGTGTTCACAGAAATTTTCCTTATAATAGAATTTTACTTGTCCTAAAATAAGGAATTCTCTGTTATTCAGATATTTGCTTTGGGATACAGTGCTGTTAAATATAGATTCCTAGCAATTACCTTTATAGTTTATAGAAAATTGAATGCAACTTCAAATCAACTTTGCAAAGAAAATTATGTGCTGTGAGTTTTTAGGAGTAAGAGCGATGGTGACATATATGTATATTACACAACTAACCCCTTTTCTCCAAGTTATTGGGTCTTTGGTGGGACTTAATGTTTTAATGACTACCTTAGGATTTTAGGTGATACTCTCCTTCCCCCCGGGATTGAGATACTAGATAATAAGAATATATTAAGTATAATTGATTCTGGATTGGAAACAAACTATGCAATATGATTTAAGCGCAGTCTTTCTTGCCATTCATCTTTTCTGTTTTATTGTTTACAAGAATTTTATCTTATTGCTATTTAAAATAGAGTATGATTTTTATATAGATGTGCACTAAGGAATCATTTGGATTACTTATGAGTTTTTTCTTTTAATGTAAATTGATTTTGTAATGCTTATGCTACAACTAATGCAGAAAATACATACTTTATTTTATGTTTAATTAGGTAGTCCAACTACAGGAATGGATGATTAAAATCATCAACAATAATACTGCTATATGTGTAGAAGGAAAATTGATGTAAGTATAACATTTGAATATTCATATATATATATATGTATATATGTATATATATATGTATGTATTATACTATATTACCATTGATTTCAGAGAGGAAGGGAAAGAGAGAGAGACAGAACATCAATGATGAGAGAGAATCATCAGTCAGCTGCCTCCCGCACATCCCCCACTGGGAATGGAGCCCATAGCCCAATTGGGAATTGAACCATGACCTCCTGGTTCACAGGTCAGTGCTCAACCACTGAGCCACACCAGCTGGACCTGAATATTCTTTTAATAAAATAAGACACTATTTATAAGAGCTTAAAAGGAGAAGCATGAGAAATAAACAAAGACTGTCTAGATTGCAAAGCAAAGGCAAAAATGGTAAAATGACTATATATTGATTGTAACCAGCTTTCTTATTTTTGCCTTATAGGTTATTTTAAAAATAGTGACAGCTCAAATTTTTATACACAGTGCTTGATTTTCCCCCCAGAGGTTTTAATAAGTTGACTGGTATTTGCTGCTTAATTATATTTGGTTAGTTAATATTTACTTACATGCATTTTAATTCAGAGTCTCACATCTAAATTTATATCTGGGATAACCAGGTATAAATTATTGTTTCAGACAAGGAATCAAAATTATTTTAAAGCTTTGTCATACAGCTACATATTAAAATATGGCACTTTCTGGTTCTCCCTAAAGTGAAAGCATCAACAGGTAAGGGCTTTGCTTAATTCTGCTAATCTATTAGCACCATTTCCTATTCTTCAAAATCAATATCTTAGTGATAAAGAAGTTTTTTTTTAAAACAAACATATAATGAAAACAATACAGGGTATTACTATTCAAAGGTACTGGCCTGAAAATTTATAAGTTGAATATGTAAACTCTGTCTTGCCCACTCCATTTCTGCCTGCTGTGTGCCCATTTTCTGAATATCCAAGAGGCAGTGTAGCTTGCCTTGGTTGGAATTCTATTGCTGCTGCTTACTGACTGTATGACTTGGGCAGTCTCAGTTTTTTCATCTGTACAGTGATAATATTACTACTTTTGAGGTTATTTTGAGGATTAAATGAATTATATTTTTAAAACTTGAGAACAGAACTTTAAAGTGCTATTTAAGTGTTTTTTGTTTTTGTTTTTTTAATTAAATCTTTATTGTTCAGATTATTACATTTGTTCCTCTTTTTTTTCCCCCCATAACTTCCCTCCTCCCAGTTCCCACCCCACCCTCCGCCCTCACTCCCCACCCACTGTCCTCATCCATAGGTGCACGATTTTTGTCCAGTCTCTTCCCGCATCTCCCACACCCCTTTCCCCCCCAGGAATAGTCAGTCCATTCCCTTTCTATGTCCCTGATTCTATTATAATCAACAGTTCATTCTGTTCATCAGATTATTTATTCACTTGATTCTTAGATTCACTTGTTGATAGATGCATATTTGTTGTTCATAATTTGTATCTTTACCTTTTTCTTCCTCTTCCTCTTCTTAAAGGATACCTTTCAGCATTTCATATAGTCCTGGTTTGGTGGTGATGAACTCCTTTAGCTTTTCCTTATCTGTGAAGCTCTTTATCTGACCTTCAATTCTGAATGATAGCTTTGCTGGATAAAGTAATCTTGGTTGTAGGTTCTTGGTATTCATCACTTTGAATATTTCTTGCCACTCCCTTCTGGCCTGCAAAGTTTCTGTTGAGAAATCAGCTGACAGTCGTATGGGTATTCCCTTGTAGGTAACTAAGTTTCTTTCTCTTGCTGTTTTTAAGATTCTCTCTTTATCTTTTGCTCTTGGCATTTTAATTATGATGTGTCTTGGTGTGGTCCTCTTTGGATTCCTTTTGTTTGGGGTTCTCCGCGCTTCTTGGACCTGTAAGTCCATTTCTTTCACCAGGTGGGGGAAGTTTTCTGTCATTATTTCTTCAAATAGGTTTTCAATATCTTGCTCTCTCTCATCTTCTGGCACCCCTATAATTCTGATGTTGGTACGCTTGAAGCTGTCCCAGAGGCTCCTTACACTATGCTCGCATTTTTGGATTCTTTTTTCATTTTGCTTTTCCGGTTGGGTGTTTTTTGCTTCCTCGCATTTCAAATCATTGACTTGATTCTTGCGCTCCTCTGGTCTGCTGTCGGGAGTCTGTATAATATTCGTTATTTCAGTCCGTGTATGCTTAATTTCTAGTTGGTTCCCCAATATAAGATCGAGGGTCTCATTAGTTTTCTTGTAGATCTCATTAAGTTTATCGGCAGCTTCTAAACAGTTCTTGAGAGACCTTAAAAGTGTGGTTCTGAACTCTATATCTTCCATTGACAATTTTGTCCTGTTTCTTTGTCTCCGCATTTTGTTATGCTTCCTTGGTGCACCCCCTAGTGGTCTTTGTTCGCAGTCTTATAGTTAAATCTTGATTGTTGTAGCTAATTCCAGGGAGGGTTTGACCTCCAGGCCAAGTGGCTATGAGAATCAACTGTGTCAGCAGTGAGAGAACTTCTGTCCTCTAGGGAGGTGCTAATCTAGCCTTTGCCTGAGGCTATCCGGCAAATGCCTCAGTGCAGGGCTTGGGCGGGGCGGGTCGAACAGGATCAACAGGGTGGGCCGGAGAGAGCAGTTATGGCGGCTCTCAGTCCTGTCCCCAGGGGCTCTGCCTCTCTGAGTCCCAGCACCCGCTGCAAAGCTCAGAGAGAAAGCTGCACTCGCTCTGACCGAAGCCAGACAGTCCCGCTTCCCCCGTTTGAGTCTGGGTCCCTAAAGACTCACCTGTATCTGGAGCTCAGAGTCTGCGACTCCCTCCCGATTGAAAACGCCAACCGTGCCCTCCGCCGCCAGCCCGCTCTGCGCACTCCGCACCTCAGAATTTGACTTCAGCACTGCGCCTCCTCTGAGTGTCCGTAGGCGTTTCTCTTTCCTCCTAGTTGTAGGACTTCCACTCAGCCAGTGTTCCTGTGGTTCTGGGTGATGTCCCTTCCTTTTTTTGGTTTCACTTTTGAAGTAGTTGTTCAAAGCAGCAAACTCCAGCGTTAACCTATGCCGCCATTTTGGTTCTCCCTGAAAGTGCTATTTAAGTGTTAAATAAAATTAATAAAGCCAAAAAAAACAGGATGAGAAGTAATATCATATTAAGATATAATATATGAATTTAGTCCCATTTGACCAAATGTATAGAATTTTATTTTCTTATTACACTTAGATTTAGTAAGTTTATTCTTAGTTATCTAGTAAATTGGGGAATGTTCAACATTTATCTAATACATCTTCATATTTCATTCTATTTTATACTAGTGGTTTCATTCTATTTTATACTAGTGGCCCAGTGCACGGATTTATGCACATTGAAAGGAAATTAATTAAAAGAAATATTTTAATATTGCTATTCGCCCTTTCTTTATAATAGAAGTGTCAGAGATGAAAGAAAATTAGTAAAATGTATATGAAAATAATATATAAATTGATTAATAAACAGTAACAACATGATATAACAACAAAAACATATAAAAACAACAAAAACATATAAAAACATGAAATAAAACAACATTGATAAAAACAATGACTGATTAAAATTGATTAAACTGCATGCTCGAGTTAAAGTTTATTTTTAAATTGCCAGTGTGTGTCATATGTACTGGTGGATGGACGGTTGGTCACTTTAGCCTTTTATATATATAAATTTATCCTTAGCTTCATTTGAGGAAATATAAAGAGTAGATTTATGGGTAAATGATTTGATATTGCAGCTTGTTTTTTCCCTGGAACTTTTTTGTACTTTCCAAAGAGGAGGGTAAAAGCATTTGGCTGTATAGTGAGGAGTGAAAATCCACAAGCGTAGATAGATCCAAACTATACAATTGCATGAAAGCTAACACAGTATAGGCCCCGATAAGAGAGTCAGGAAGTCATTCTTTGGAAGCTGAGCATCAGGATGGAATCGCAAACATTGTCAACACCAGATATTTAGAGATACTCCCTGCTTCCTTACTAATGATATATTTTATACTAGAGGTATGTTTGATCACAGCACAGTTTTTTTGCACATACTGGTACTCTGAGGATCACATTAAGCATGCAGTTGAGTTCTGCTACAATGTTTGGCCCTCAAATGTTTTATAATTAGATTATAACATTGTTAATGTAGCTGGAATGCAAATTTATTACTTTCTATTATAATTTGATATACTTATCTATGTTCATTGTGACTGCTGTGAATATTTTGGCCTTAACTAAGCTATTTTTTCCTCCTAGAGACGTCACTAATATCTATTGGCACAGTAACGCAATTGTAGAACGGATTGAACACAACAAACTTAAGACATTATCAGGCAACATTTATATATTAAAAGGGATGATAGACCGGATTTCCATGAAAGAAGCAGGTAATGACTCGTTATTAATTGATAACTCATTTTAATAAGTGAAGCAATGAACCATATTTCTAATAGTAATATATATTTTTTACTTTTAATTAGGTGTTTTAAAACTGAATCAGTCAAAACTAAAAATTAAAAACAGAATTGACCACATTATGTAAAACTATTTGACAGTTTAAATAAGTCTAGTGATTTTTATTTATTTATTGTTTTAATTAAGGGAAGTATTCCTTATTTGGGAAGAATTGCTTTATAAGAATATAATGTAACTCCCTAGGTCCTCTTTTTGTTGAACCTGCCCTACACAGCCCTAATCTTGGTATAATCTGATTTTCTGTCTGTGACTTGCACACAGCTAATAGGATTGAAGGAACCACATCTGAGCAGTCCAAAGGTCGATGCTCTATCCACTGAGCCAAACCAGCTAGGGCTACTTCATATTTTTACAAGCATCTGCTCCCTCCTCTTAGGAGGGGGTAGGGATAGGGGAAGGAGGGTATGACCTGAGCAATAAGAACAATCAGAAGAACGTTTTCTCATATATTCTCATTTTCTTGCACCTAGATCTGCTTTTATATGGATGAATAGTCCATATTTCTGTCTGTGTCAGCATCTGCATTTGTACCTTAGCTCCCATTTTCCCTTTTACTCAAAGATATCACTGTAGTAATTCTCCCTTCTCCTATCAAAAACAATTCCTCTTTTCTTTTTTTAGAGAACAGTCCTTTTAACCACATTTCTTTTAACTACTCTCAATTACAGCAAAGCAACTCAGAAGATTTGTTATATCTAATTCCTCTTGAGCTTTTCCCCCATTTTTTCCTTGAATTCTCTTTAATTATGCTTTAATCCCCACTTCTTCACTGAAGCAGCTCTTATCAAAGTCACCAATGGCTCCCACACTGCTAAATTCAGTATAAACTTGACACAGTTAATCTTACCTACCTCTTTGAAACACTTTTTTTTAAAATCTTTATTGTTGAAAGTGTTACATATGTCCCCTTTTTTCCCCCATTAATCCCTATTAGCCTGCCCCTGTCCCCTCACCCAGGCCTTCTCCATCCCATTGTCTGTGTCCATGGGCCATGTTTATATGCATACCAGGTCCTTGGTTGATTACCTCCTACCCCCCCTTCCCTCCCCTGCCTGCCTTCTGAGATTCCTCACTCTGTTCCATGCTTCCATGTCATTGGATCCACTTAGGTTCCACATATGAGTGAGATCATGTGATACTTGTCTTTCTCTGACTGACTTATTTCACTTAGCATGATACTCTCCAGGTCCCTCCATGCTGTCTCAAAGGGTAAGCAATTCTTTTTTACTGCTGCATAGCATTCCATGGTATAAATGTACCACAGCTTTTTTATCCACTCATCTACTGATGGGCACTTGGGTTGTTTATAGATCTTAGCTATTGTAAATTGTGCTGCTATAAACATAGGGTGCATACATTCTTTCTGATTGGTATTTCGGATTTGTTAGGATATATTCCTAGATGTAGAATCACTGGTCAAATGGCAGTTCCATTTTTAATATTTTGAGGAAACTTCATACTGTTTTTCATAATGGCTGCACCAGTCTGCATTCCCACCAGCAGTGTACTAACTAGGGTTCCCTTTTCTCCACATCCTCTCCAGCACTTGTCATTTGTTAATGAAACACTTAACTTGGCTTCTAAAATACCATATTCTGAATTTCATGCTGTCTCAGTCCCTGTTCCTTCTTTGTTTCTTTGCTCATTTTTCTTTGCCTCTTAATAATGGGGTAGATTAGGGCTTTTTCTACATTCAGTACTATGCTGATTTCTTTGAGGCTTTAAATCTTAATCTATGTGGTGACAAATGCCAAATTTATATCTCTAATGAAAAATACTCTTCTGGCCACTCAACTTACTTTCCATCTGCCCATTTGACATCTCCATTAGGATGCCTACAGGCATCTCAAACTTAATATAGTCATGTATCACTTAATGACAGGGATTGATTATGAAAAAACATTGTTCGGTGGTTTTGTGATATAAACATTATAGAGCGCACTTACACAAACATAAATAGCGTAGCCTACTGTACACCTAGGCTGTATAGCAGAGTCTATTGCTCCTAGGCTACAAACGTATACAGCACATTACTGAATACTATAGGCAATTGTAATGCAATGGTAAGTATTTGTATATCTAGATATGTAGAAAAGGTACCGTAAAAATATGGTATAAAAGATAACAAATGGTAACCAGTGTAGGTAATTTACCATGAATAGAGCTTACAAAATGAATTGCTCTAGGTGACTCAGTGAGTGAGTGTTGAGTGAATGTGAAACTAGGACATTACTGTACACTACTGTAAAGTTTATAAACACTGTACACTTAGGCTACATTAAATTTATAAGAAAACATTTTTCTTCAATAAATTAACCATAGCTTACTGTAACTTCAACTCTAAACTTTTTAATTTTCAGCTCTTGGAATAACTTACCTTAAAACACAAACACATTATACAGCTGTTTAAAAATCTCTCTTTAGAACAGTATGGAGTTTTCTCAGAAAACTAAAAATGGAACTCCCATTTGACCCAATGATCCCACTTCTAGGAATATATCCCAAGAAACTAGAAACACCAATCAGAAAGGCTATATGCACCTCTATTTTCATAGCAGCACAATTCACTATAGCTAAGATTTGGAAACAGTCTAAGTGCCCATCAGCAGATGAGTGGATTAGAAAACTGTGGCACATCTACACAATAGAACACTACGCTGTGGTAAAAAAGAAGGAATTCTTACCATTTGTAACAGCATGGATGGAACTGGAGAGCATTATGCTCTCATAATATCACATGATCCCACTCATTTCTGGACTATAATGAACAATATAAACTGATGAACAAAAACAGATCCAGAGACAGAGAAGCATCGATCAGACTGTCCAACCTCAGAGGGAAGGTCGGGGAGGATGGGAGTAAGGGAGAGATCAACCAAAGGACTTGTATGCATGCATATAAGCCTAACCAATGGACACAGACACCAGGGGGGTGAGGGTATGTGTGGGTAGGTGGGGGGAGGGGAGGGGATGGGAGGATAAAGACATAATGTAATACCTTAATCAAGAAAAAAATTAAATAAAAATAAAAAATCTTTATATCCTTATTTTTTTTAATATATTTTATTGATTTTTTTACAGAGAGGAAGGCAGAGGGATAGTCAGAAACATGGATGAGAGAGAAACACCGATCAGCTGCCTCCTGCACACCCCCTACTGGGAATGTGCCTGCAACCAAGATCCATGCCCTTGACCTGAATCGAACCTGGGACCCTTCAGTCTGCAGGCTGACACTCTATCCACTGAGCCAAACCGGTCAGGGTTATATCCTTATTCTTTATTAGTAGCTGTGAGTAATGCATTGCACTGTGACATCATAACACTGCACTGTCACTAGGTGATACCCGTTTTTTGATGTCACAATTACAAAGTCACTAGGCAATGCAAATTTTTCAACTCCATTATGATCTAATGGGACCACCTTCATATACACACGCAGCCCATCATGGTTAACCAAAAATGTCCTTATGCAGTGCATGACTGTATATCTAAAACCTGATCTTCTCCCTTAAATCTGCTTAATCTACAGACTTCCCCCTCTTTCCAGGCTTCCAGAGGCTAGCTAAAATCCTTGGGGACATCCTTAAGTCCTAGATTTCTTTCCCGCATACATTAATGTGTCAGTATGTCCTATTGGCATTATCTCCATAATATATTCAGAACCTAGGCTTCTGCTGACCATTGTGGTCCAAACCTCTCTCTTGTTTTGAGTGATTGCAGTAACCTCCTAACTGGTCTCCTTGTTTCTCCCATTTTCTCCCATTATACTTCCATAGACTCTTCTCAAAATAGCAGCTATTACAGTCCTATTAAAGTCAATAGCTTAACTTAAAACCCAAGGACATTATACAGCTCCTCTGGTCATAGCATTTCCATAGCTTTCTTTCTCATTCAAAGTAAGAGACTAGGTCTGTGAAATGACTCCAAGGCCTTATAATCTCTTATGCTCCCACACTACCTTTGTTACCCATCTGAGTATCCTCCTGGTACTAGTCTCTCCTCACTACACTTTAACTTTACTAGTCACTTTGTTCTACAAAGGCAGCCTTTTGTTTTGTTCTCTCTGCTTCCAATGTTTTAACCTTATATTGCCATGTGGCTTACTTCAAGTCTCAAGGTTTCCGATGCTATTTCAGTAAGAATATCTCTATCCTTTTTTTTTTATCTTTATTGTTGAAAGTATTACAGATATCCCCTTTTGTTTGTTTTTCCCATTGACTGCCTTCACCACTCTATTGTCTATGTCTGTGGGCTATGCATATAAGTTCCCCCGGTTAATTACTCCCCACCCACTCCCACTTTCCCTCTGAAATTCGTTAGTTTTTTCTGACTATACTTTTTTAAAATATATATATTTTTCATTGATTTCAGAGAGGAAGGGAGAGGGAGAGAGAGATAGAACTCTCAATGATGAGAAAGAGTCATTGATTGGCTGCCTCCTGCACGATCCAGGGGAATCAAGCCTGCAACCCAGGCATGTACCCTGACTGGGAATCGAACCATCACCTTCTGGTTCATAGGCCATGACCTCCTGTTTCATAGGGCGATGCTCAATCATTGAGCCACACCAGCTGGGCTTGACTATCCTTTTTTAAAGATGCTGTCTGCATGAATACACTGATATTTCTGTTCCCCCTCAACTGCATAATTTTTCTCCATAGCATTAATAATCATTTAACAAGATATTTTACTTGTTGGTTTGCCTTCTGTTTCACACTAGAAGGCAAGTTCCATGAAGGTATGGATTTGGGTTGTTTTGTTAATTGCTGAATCCTTGTACCTGCAACAGTGCCTGACTGGCACATAGTAAACAATTTGTGTGTGTGTGTGTGTGTGTGTGTGTGTGTGTGTGTGTGTGTGTGTGTGTTTTAATAAATTAATGACATGTCTTCAAAATTCTAGGTTTTTAGATAATTTTGTTTGTTTGTTATTACATAGGCTATCCATATTATCTCATAAGGAAGTTTATGTTTGGCTTTCCAGAAAATTGGAAAGAGCACATTGATACTTTCCTAGAACAATTAAGGTAAAGTACTTTTTATATTAAAAAACAGCAACTTTATTGAGGCATAATTTTCATTTGATAAAATGCATCCATTTTAGGTGAGCTTTTAAAAATGTATACTTAACCAGTATGAAGTGGTTTTAATTTCTTTTTTATGGAAAATAAAACCTTGGACATTTCAAGGAGTCATCCTTATTCTATCCTTTGAGAGTCAAATAGCTGTTAAACAGCAGTCTGAAGTTCATGGTCATCTTTTCTTTCATTCATTCCCTCTGTAGTTACTCTGTTGGCACTGGGGAAAACAAGGGAGAATTTGGTTAATTCTTGCTTTTAAGGGACTCATAGGGATGGAGTGATGTAAGTTAATTAGTCACAAAACAGGGATTGACAATTTTTTCTGTAAAGGGCCAGATAATAAGTATTTTTATGGGCATGCTCTACTACAACTGCTTCAACGAGAGGAAAAGCAGCATCAGTTCCTTAATGAATGTGGCTATGTTTCAGTAAACTTTATATTGTACTTGAGTTTTTTGTGGGAAAGGGGATGGAAGCCATGAAGGCTTAAATTATGTAAGGTTAAAAGTAATCTTTACTATGGTGAAGAACTTTGAGGGAATTTTTTTTTTTTTTTTTTTGGTGTAGTGTTAGTGTTAAAGGTTAGGTTAGGGTTTGGATTGAGTTCAAAATTATGGTTAGACTTAGCTTTAGGATTAGGTATAAGGTTAGGGCTAAAAGTTAGTTACGTTTAGGGTTAGTTTAATAATAAGGTAGGGCTAAGGTTAGTTTTGAGGTTAGATGTAATATTTGGGATTAGGGCAGGGGTCCTCAATCTACGGCCCGAGGGCCACATGCAGCCCGCCGAAAACATTTATCCGACCCACCAGGTGTTTTTGCCGCCGCTGTGTGCATAGGAATTTGTTCATAGTTTTTTTTTTAAACTATAGTCCGGCCCTCCAACAGTCTGAGGGACAGTGAACTGGCCCCCTATTTAAAAAGTTTGAGGACCCTTGGATTAGGGTTAGGGTGATAGCTCAGTTTAGGGTTAAGTTTTAGAATTATAGGCTTATTGTTAGAGTTAGTTTTAGAATTAGAGTAAGGTTTCTGGGTACCTTTAGGGTAAGGATTAGGATTAGGTTTAAAATTAGGAACAGTGTTAGGATTAGAGTTAAGCTTAGGGTTGGTATATTATAGTTAGGGTTAGAGTTAGTATTTTATTTAGGGTTGAGGTTAGGTCATAGGAGAGTTTCATTTTTTTGTGGGTTTTATTTTTTTGTTTTCAGTTTTTTGAGAACCAACATTAGAGGGAAAATAATGTATGTTTTTAGGGCTTGTGAAAAGAAAAAGAAAAAGGCCAGACAAAAACAGAAAAGTAGAAGATTTGTGCCCGACATAGGAAAGTCAATGAAAAATGATGCAGGAATAAACCAAACAGATGGCCTCCAAAGAACCAGCACCATTTATGACCTTGATTGTAACCATTTGGGTATGTTTGCTCTTTTCTTCTCTATTGGTAAAGTGGTGTATTCTTACATGAACCCCACGTTGTTAATTGTTTACAGTGCATATAGTCTTGAGTTCTCATCTGGTCCTAAAATTTGTGATTTTTCACTACTTGGAGAAAAACTACAAAGCAGATAGCTCATAGTCAGCATTCAACTTCATTAAATGTTACCTTTTAATTAACCTGATAAGCATATCAATGAAAGATAATTGTTCTTTCAGTTTCCTAGACACAGGGTATTTAAGCTGCTAACCTACCTCAAACCTATATATTAAACTAGAGGCCCAGTGCACAAAAATTTGTGCACTCGGGGCAGGGGCGTTCCTCAGCCGGGCCTGTGACCTCTCGCAGTCTGGGACCCCTCGGGGGATGTCCACCTGCTGGCTTAGGCCCACTCCCCAGGGGGATTGGGCCTAAACTGGCAGTCAGACATCCCTCTGGCAGCCCGGGAGCCCTCGGGGGATGTCCACTTGCTAGTGGGGAGCAGGCCTAAGCTGCAGTTGAATATCCTACCACTGCTGTGCTGGCAGCTGGCAGCCTGCCTTGTAGCTGAGCAGAGCTCGCCCTTTGGGAGCACACTGACCACCAGGGGGCATCTGCTGCATTAAGCATCTGCCCCCTGGTGGTCAGTGTGTGTCATAGTGACCAGTCATTCCCAGTCGTTCTGCTGTTGGGGTCAATTTGCATATTACCCTTTTGTTATATAGGATACTGTATGCCTAATTTGTACCAAATTTTATTCTTGTTAATAGACAATACCAGTTTGATTTTATGGGGGTAATGGCATGTTTTTTGAATGACCATTACTAGAAGGTAGCTGGCAAAACTGTTCTGTGTCACCTCTTTGCCAAAACTATAATTTGCCTCACAGCCTTTTCTAGAAAATACAGATGAATAAAAGTTAATTAGAATCTGTTGTATAAATTTCTGTCGATTCTACCTTGACCTTATAACAAAGAGCTTTACAGGATTGCTTCTACCAAAATCATGGCACCATATTGAGTATAAGTTCCCCACTGCACCCCACTTCCCTGTGTTCATAGGGCCCTCCTTTGTAATTTTGCTTATCCTTTCTAGTACAAAGGAATGGATTAAATATGTAGATGACTGCTTGCTCAGAGCTAGCTAAAAGTCACTCTATTCTAGTTTCTTCTCAACCTTTCCTCATTTTTTCAAAAGTCATCCTATTTGCCTGTAAATTTAAAATATTGCTCATTGTCATTTGCTAGACCATCTTCAGTATTCTGGAGCCCTGGGGCTACAGCAACTGCTATATACTTTTTACTCTTAATATAAAATTTCTAAAAGTATATCTCACTTTTAGCATTTATTAATCTTCTTTAGTCTTAGATCTTAAGCAGTGTTTTTCATAAATTTTTAAATTGTGAATGTTACTGGTGAAGTGTTTGAAGATACAAATGTAAAATGCTAAAGTTTGGTAAACTATCTTACATGCTACCTGTGTCCATAAGAAAATAATTCAACAAATAATTTTTAAAGCACTTTCCATGAACCTTGATCTTTGTTAGCTGTTAGCAATTTAGAAATGAATAAGAGGAGATGATACCTCCCCTTTGGGAAGCTCAGGTTAGGAGCAAATATTAGTGGATTTTTTTTTTTTTTAGGTGTATCATTTTTCCAGTGTGATTTATTAAATCTTTGTTTTGTGAAACTGTTAAGACATTGTGTGTCCTCATATTACATAAGTTATTTTGAGTGGTGATGGTGGTTGGTGCTGTCTTTTTTTATGGGAAAACCACTGAAATAAAACCACGTCTAACATTAAACAACTAAAGGTATGCAAAGGCGCTAATCAGTGATAATTTAAGTTGATGTGATCGTGTGTGTGATTTACCTAAAATGTGGTTTTGCATGTTTAGTGCTATAATCTATATGTCATAGTATTGTATTAAAATACTTAATTTCTGTTATACTTAACCAGAATATATTATAAGTGATCTGTTATAATAGCCTTCTTCACCATACTGTAAAAATCTCAGAGGAAGGACCATCCATATGTATTTTCAAATACAGCTTCTAGAATAATAATAAAAATGTTTCTATAGTTTTACAAGTCCTTTTTAACTTATCTAGAATTTTAGCTCAATAGCTGTTTCTTAAGCCTATATTGTATACTATAAATTTGGTTTTGCTTAAAATTTTAATTAGCATGGATTTAGTTTACATTGGTATACATAAATTAATTGGAACATAAGAATTCAATATACATGAAGAAATATAAGGGAAATAGAGTTATTCACTTTCTGTTTAGTTGGTATAGAGTTTGGATGAACAGGAATTTGTATTTACAAAATGGTTTAATGTTTCTATTTTGCTTTAGATGTGGCAAAGGAGATTCAAAACAGATAATAAGAAATATTATGGCTGTCCACTTCTTTTCTTTCCTTTTCTTTTCTTTTCTTTTCTTTTCTTTTCTTTTCTTTTCTTTTCTTTTCTTTTCTTTTCTTTTCTTTTCTTTTCCCTCCCTCCCTCCCTCCCTTCCTTCCTTCCTTCCTTCCTTTCTTTAGAATAAAAGTGATTTGAACAAAATATGGCCCTATGCAGAGTGGTTCTGTCCAAATAAAATTGCTTTATGTCATAACCAAATTTAACAAATATTTGTGACATTGGATTAGACAGACTTTTTCAGAGTGAGTTCTTAATGGGGATGAGCAGCTTAACTTTTATATAATCATTTATCTAAACCTTCATCTTTGTACTCATAGAACTGAAGAAGAATAAGCACAGTACATTGCCAGGAGCTATAGAATTAAACATTTGCCAGAGTAATCCTCAAAATAAACCACCAATAAGCTTCCCAGATGACCAAATAAAGAATACTGTTCAAAATGGGGGAGAATATGACTTAACTAATCAGGTAAGCTTTTATTGTATACTGTACAGGGGTGGTGTGATACTATTGAAAACATTAGAGACCAAATGAGAAATCATGAGTTCTCTTTGTTAAGTTTTGCTTTTTATTAGTTTAGGCATAGTAGGTAAATGTCTTGATATTTATTTTCCTGGTATCTCACTGGAAAAGTGCAGACAAGAATAACAAAGTTTTAGTTATAGAGTAAGATTTAAATAGAGAATGAGAGAGAGAGAGAGAGAGAGAGAGAGAGAGAGTGTGTGTGTGTGTGTGTGTGTGTGTGTGTGTGTGTGAGTGTGTGTGCGCGCGCACGCACATGCACATTTTAAATGATAGTATTTTTTTTTTTTTTTTTAAATGATAGTATTAAATCGGTAAAGAAAATGTGAGAATGTGGTTACCCACATGGTGCTTCCAAAGCTTGAGCTTTGAATACCTCTGCTAATGAAATTTCTGTAAGTGCCTAGAAATTTGTGTGCTTGATTCATACTGTAAAATGCTTGTAGTCATGTTTATAGGTAGTACTTGTTATAGTAAAAAGTTATCTTTTGATTTTTAAGGAATTGATTGGAAAAAGTGAATATAAGAAGTTATCTTCAAAGAAACTCAAAAATTGTGAAAGAACAAATAAAAAGATAATTAAAAATCAGGAGCAAGGTAATATATCCTTATTATTGTTTTATTTTATAACTAAAGGCCTGGTGCATGAATTCGTGCCTGGTTGGGGTCTGGCTGCCCCACCCCAATCAGGGCCAGGCTGGCTGGGGAGAGGGGACATGGAAAATTGGCCAGCCGGGCCTGCCCCCGGTTGAACTCCCGGTCAAGGGGACAATTTGCATATTAGCCTTTTATTATATAGGATAAGTAGAAAGTTACTATTTGAAATTTTTTAATATAATAAAAGTGATTTTATAAATTTCTAAATCTGAAATGATAGACCAACTGTTTTAATGCTTATTAAATATTTGGTGTTATCTTTTTACAGAAGATGATTTACAAAATGAAATAATTCATTGCTTTAAATATAGATTCACTTATAGGTTTGCTTTCTTTAGGTAGCTTTAAATTTTTAAATCACAAAATATATATTATTTAAATATGCTTATAGTATTGTTTAAAGACAGTCTTTTTATTAAATTGTAATAGGCCATAATTTAGTTTTGTATAAGTGTGTATTTTTCAGAATGATTTCATTGAAATCCTGCATACCTGAATATATAGAACCTTTTCTCTATGCAGTAGGGAGTTTAAAACTTAATGTTTAATTGAATCTATCAGCTTAATAGCATTTTTTTCTATTTTATTGCTTATAAGTGAAAAATGAAAGTGGAGAACATTTATAAGTGTGTAAAAAAGTAGACTGAAGAGCAATACCACTTACCAAGTTTATATGACTTAAATAAAAGTATCCAGAATAGGCTGTATCTTTATTCAGGTTATTTAATGAAATTAACAGAAAAATGTTTTGCTCGAAATTAGAGAGCATAAAATTTTTAAATTGCCAATTGAACATTTGAATCACATTTATAATAAGGAATTAGAAGAAAATACTTCAGCTCATAATGTGAAAATATATAATTCCATTGAGAAGTCTTGTGGAAACTTTCTTGTTTTTTGGTTAGTACCATTTCATGAATTATAATTTAGAAGCTTCTTTTATTTTTGTCATTCATCTTTTAAATGTCACATAATATGTGTAGATTGTTGGCAGTATGTCACTGTGATGATTGGCGTGATAATTATAATTATAGCTGGATAATTTAAAGTTAGAAACTAATAGTTTAGCTTCTGGTTTCTTAAGTTTTAGAGTTGAGAATTTCTCTCATTTAATTTGTTTTCTTGAAGTAATGATATGGTATAATAAAGACTCTCAAGTTTTGATTTGGTTCTTTTCCCATGATGATTCATAGAGTTTTTGGGGATTCAGCAAAAGATTGCCTTGATGTCTACCATTAGGGATGAATGAGAATGAGGCTGTGCAAATGGAGTTACATGTTCTTCTAATTCCCTTCTTAACTAATATACTTCTGTTTCATATGTTACATACCTAGTAAGGTTTTAGCAGCCCAACAAATATTTATTTAGCATCTACTACATATGTGACTGAACTAACTCCAGTAAAATGAAGATAATTCACAAATGAAAACAAAGTTGTTAAGTATACTTTTCAGACTAGTTGAAAGATTAGACAAGTGTAATTATATGCAGGGTGCATTGTCAAACATGGCATTATTTTAAAATATTCTGGAAATTTGAAAGAGCTTTCATTCAGTTGAGGAAATCAGGACAAAGTTTATGGACCAGGTAGGTTGGGGTGTAAGATTGAAACAGGTAGTGATTTGGTTTGTAAATGAGTGAAAGGAATTTTCCAAGTAGAGAAAATTTGAGAAACAGTGGTCTTACAGACATAGAATGTGGTTCAGACATGAATGCAGCGAGTGAACTGTAATGAAGGCCAGGTAGAGGAGCTTATATGCACACTAAGTATACTATGAGAAGTCCTGGACTAGTTGGTATTAAAAAATAGTATGTTTACAATCAAAGGGATGGTGATCTAAACAGACTGGTGTTTCAGCAAGATTAATATGACAGTGGAGTTTGTGGTGGGAAAACAATATATTTGTGAAAACAGTTTTTTAAATTTTGTTCGTAGCTAATTTGAGATTTTGATCTTTGGTTTTATCGTATGAAATTAAAGAGCAAACCGAAGAATCGAAGGTATCCATTGATATTATCATCTCAGGGAAATCACCTTTCTCAAATGAAGAAAGAAAATATGCGGCTACTAATCAGAAGGAAGTCTGTGTTTTGGTAACACCACTTAAATCTAAAAATGTGATAGAGCAAAAATGCATGAAGTATAATGTATCGTCTGGTGCCGTTAAAGCAGTAACAGATTTTATAGTGCCAAAGCATCAAAAAGAAAGTGAATCAGACTTAAATGAAACTACATGTCCAATTAGTAAGCCCAGAAAGACTTTCAAAGATGTATATGAGAGTGACGTGGGTCATATAAGCGAAAACAAGGAGGATTGCATTGAACGTGATATACTCACTGTCAACCAGAAAATAAAAATACCTAGTTCTAATAAGAAACAAACGGTCACCTCTGACTTTAAGAACAATACAAAGTTGTTATCAACATCAAAGAAAATTGAAAAAAATCAAGTAACAAATCAAGATTTGTCTGCTGACAAGAGTGAAACGGAAAAGAAAATTAGAATAAAAGCTGGGGATATTAAGAAGACCACAACAAGAAATACCAAAGAAAGAGTAGTTCACCAAAGAAAAAGCAGAAGGAACATCACTGGAAAAATCTCAGTGACCTCTGAATCTGAAACTGAAGAAAGTGAAACTGAATTTCATATCCTAAAAAAGAAAGCTAGATGTTCTGCTGAAATAAATTGTCAGAAATCTGATATTAGGAATGAGTTACCAATTATTAACAAAATGGGATCTGGTGAAACGAAGAGGCATTCCTTAGAATGTTTACCTGGTTTAATTCTGGATGAAGAATGGAATGAGAAGGAATTGGAGAAGCTTCATTGGTAAGTAGTTAGATTTGACTCTGAAATATCCTGAGTGGCCACAAAATAGTTGAAGACATGAAGAATCCAATGAGGGAGTGATTTAATGGTTTATAATCATTAAAATGGAATATGTCATCCAAAAACACATAAAGGAAAATTACAATTTATACAGAGAATGGAGGGAAAATATAGATAACTGCCATCTACATGTGGCCATTTATACAGTATACATATGAGCTTTTCATTCCCATTTAACACATTGTATGTGGGAAACGTATTTATACGTTTTACGTATTTATACGTTCTACCAGTGTAGTAGAGCGCGGGACATGTATTAATGTTTTTTATAGACTAGCGGTAAAACATGGGTAACGTATAAATACGTAAACTAAAGTTACTATAATTTTACTGAACGTTGCCATTTGCGCAAAAAATTAGCAAAAATGGCCCATGCCACCTGTTAGTGCGTGATAAAAACTACCCGCAAAGAATGTGTTAATATTGCAAGCATAGACCTCCCCTTCCCACCCCCCATCTACTGAAGAAAAGTAAGTATGTGAGGGGGTAGATGTGTTACTTGTTTGTGGTGATCACAATGTATGTATCAAATGATCATGGGTAGACTAAATATGTATAACTTGTCAGTTATACCTCAATAAACCTGAGAATATATTTCAACATAGACAAATGCTGCTCTCTCACAGCCTCACATTTTAAGAAATCCTATATAATAAAGATGTAGTATGCAAATGGTCATTACGCCGTGAAGCATAATGACCGACTGCATAACTACTGGATCACAGATCAGCAGAAGGGTGGGGCAGTGAGCTACAAGTGGTCTGTGGAGAGCTACAGGAGGGGGCAGGGTAGCAAGCTATGAGGGGGGCAGAGGGAGCTACAGGAGGGCGGGGCAGCAGATGGAGAGCTACAGGAGGGGACAGAACAGCAGGCTATGAGGTGGGGGTGGGGGAAGCTACAGGAGGGTGACAGCGAGCTACTGGCGCATGGATTCGTGTACAGGGCTACTAGTATTTTATAATTAAATTCACCATTATAAAATCTTCAAACACAGATTATTTAATGGTCCCCCCCCCCTCCATTTATTTAAAATTTTTTAAAAATAGATTTCAGAGAGGAAGGGAGAGAGAGAGAAATATCAGTGATGAGAGAGAATCATTGATTGGCTGCCTCCTGCACACCCCCACACTGTGGAACAAGGCCACAACCCAGGCACGTGCCCTGATTGGGAATCCAACTGTGACCTCCTGGTTCATAGGTCGGCGCTCAACCACAGAGACATATTAGCTGGACTCCCTCTCCCCTCAACCCCCCCATTTATAGAGAAGAGAATAGCCCCAGAAATTAGGTGATTTTTCCTAGATTTCATAACTACTGCTGCTGATAACTGGATTTGGCTACATGGACTTTACAAGCAATATCAGTAGTCTAGTAGTATTACAAGCCATAATTGAGCAATGAAGAGTGAATGGGATAATAAAGACAACTTAGAGGAACAGCACAAGAAGTTTGGCAATGGTGGGAATAGAAAAGCATAGGTGATAGAGTGTGAAGAGAAGGAATACTTGTGTTTGGTTGCTTGCTTAATTTGTAATTTGACTCATTGCCGTAGTATGGTGGTTTGCTGATGGGAATTATCTAATAGAAAGGAAGATATGAGTGGTAAAAAAAGAGAGGATAACTTAGAAACATAGCAATTCAGTGTTCCACTCCTTTTTGCACCCCCAAACGTTACAACATTTGGAATTCATTTTCAAATCTGCCTTCTTTAAATGTTCTTCTGAAGGCATCTCTGTGCCACTATACTCTTCCATTTTCAATTGCCTAAATGTAACCTCTCTTCTTCAGACACAGAAGGTAATCTTCATTCTTATTCTCCAGAGTGTTTGGATTGGGTGCTTTCTTGCTTCTCAATGATCTTTTCCTTCCAGAGTTCTAACTTCTTTCGATGTACAGGGACTTCCAACTCTGTATCTTTGGTCTTGAATTCTTATATTTAGACTAGAGGCCTGGTGCACGAAATTCATGCACAAGGAGGGGGAGGAGAGTGTGTGTCTCTCAGCCCAGCCTGCACCCTCTCCAATCTGGGACCCCTCTCACAATCCAGGACTGCTGGCTCCCAACCACTTGTCTGCCTGCCAGCCTGATCACCCCCTAACCACTCCCCTGCCAGCCTGATCAACACCTAACTGCTCCTCTGCCAGCCTGATTGCCTCTAACTGCCCTCCCCTGCTGGCCTGGTTGCCACTAACTGTCCTCACCTGCAGGCCTGGTCACCCCCAACTGCCCTCCCATGCAGGCCTCATCACTCCCAACTGCCCACCCCTGCAGGCCTGGTCCCTCCCAACTGCCCTGCCCTGCAGTCCTGATCTCCCACAACTGCCCTCTCCTGCCGGCCAACTTTGTGTGGGAGTGATGGTCAATTTGTATATTACCTCTTTATTATATAGGATTTGTATTTTCCTTTGCCTACTGAAAATCTTTACATAAGTCTCACCTACATCTCTAAATATATCATAAACCAGACTTATTTCCCCTGTCTTTACATGGCCTGACATTCCTATTTCTGAAAAACGTAATTCTTTCAGTCAGCTAAGTTTAAACTTTTTATCGTTACTGATTTTTTAAAAATTTTAACTAGTTCCCAAGGAGCTATAGATCTTTTCATGGGGTCATTTTCCATCTGCACCCTTTTTCTTGAGTCTACTCTTTTTCAGATTTTTAATGCCTTTTGCCTGAACTATGGAAGTAGCCTTATATTTAAACTTCATTCTTTTCATATACGTAATCTGTTTTATACATCTCCACATTAGTCTTAATGTATGATTGTGGTTCTGACAGATCAGAAACTTTCATTGCATTCTTACTAATCTCCAAATTCTATAGATTCTTTTGCCTTACATTGTCAGCATATAATAATTGACCTCAGTTATTATTGCCAGCTGTATTCTCCAATCATTTCCTCATAATAAAGGTTCTCAACCTTTGCTGTATATTTATATCATCTAAGGCTATTTTTTAATGCTTGAACTGCTGTTCCCAGTGAGATGGAGAAAGCACACTCCATTCTAGCTTCTACTGCACAGCTATAAAAACAAGACAATGTATACAGCAGCTTTTTGTTGACTTAGAAAGATAAATAGTAGCAGACCAATTCAGGAAGACTAAAATTTAAGTACTACCCAACTGGCTGTGAATTTCTAGTTTTTCCTCTGATATCACCCAAGCTAAACTCAAGGCTGACCAAACTGGAAGTGAGCACGAGGGCATGACAGAGTTAAAAGAAGCCCTCCAGTTCTGGAGCAGGAAAGGGGACTACTAAAGCTCAGAACATTAGAGGTAATGCTCCAGTTCTTTCTTTTTCTCCTTTCTCATATCCCAGTCCATGCTGTCCTACAGGGATGAAAATCAGTGGAGCGGTGGGGCCCACACATACCTAAGCTCTGAAAGTGGGAACCTTCCTCTCAAAGAAGAGAAGTAGCACTCTCAAGAGGGTGGGCATGTTGTGTTTTTGTCGTTTTGTCCTTTGCTTGTTTCTGGAGAAAGATGCAATTGTAACTTTGCAGCAAAACCAGGTAACTAAAGCCCCCTGATTTCTGCCAGAGAAACAAAAAGAGGAACCCTAAGGAACCCAAAATTGCAGAGGAAGAAGCTAACTAAAAACCTGATAAAGCTGTTTATGAGCTTTTGGGCTCACGCCTAATTAATCAAGAGTGGCTATACTAATACCTGTGAAAGATTTGTATAAGAAGGAAATTATAAGGGATAAAGAAGTACTTTACAAAATGATAAAAGTGTCAATTTACCAGGAAGACTTAACAATCCTAAATGTGCATGCACCTAACAACAAAACTCAAAATATATGAGTCACAATCTGTCAAATAAAAGGAAAGGACAGAAATGAAAAGATAAGCAAATCCACAATTATAGTGGTAGACTTCAGTGCTCCTCTTTTGGTAGTAAATAGAACTAGTAAACAGGAAATTATCAAGGATATAAAAGAACTGAATGATACCATCAACCAACTATTTAATGGGCATTTATGGAACAGTCCATCCCGTAATGCAGGGAGGTGTTTATTCCAAAGGTAGCTAGAGCATTCATCAAGATAGAACATCATGTTTAAAACAAATCTTAAATTTAAAATTAGTCATTCAAAGGGTGTTCTGTGACCATAATTTAATTAAATAACAAATCAATGAAAAATTAACAGGAAGTTTTCCAAGTGGTTGAAAATTTAATACACTGTAAAAGTAAAAGAAAAACATAGATAAAAGAAAAGGTTTCAAGGGAACAAGTTTTGAGGAACAAGGAAACTGAACAAAAATGAAAATACTCAGAATTTGTATTGTAAACCCAGAAAGAAGTTCATAACTTTATGGGGTGGTTTTACTGAGGTAATCTTTTCCTGATTTTTGTGGTACTTTCTGCATAAATTAATTGTGGCTTTTTTTTTTTCAAAGAAGGGAGAGGGGGAGAGAGGTAAAAACATCAATAATGAGAGAGTATCATTGATTGGCTGCCTCCTGCACACCCCACACTGGGGATCGAGCCTGCAACCTGAGCATATGCCCTGATCAGGAATCCAACTGTAACCTCCTGGTTCATAGGTTGACGCTGGACCACTGAGCCATGCCACCTGGGCAGTTGGGGCACATTCTTGATGAATGGACTATTAAGTAATAAGATGGAGAACTATTGATAATTGTAACAACTTTAATGAATTTCAGAGGCATTATGCTGAGTGAAAAGAGCCATACTGCATATGAAATCTTGGAAGAGACAGCTAAAAAGAAAATAGATCAGCCGGGCCAGCATTGCTCAGTGGTTGAGTGTCAACCTATCAACCAGGAGATACCAGTTCAATTTCCAGTCAGGGCTTGTGTCCAGGTTGTGGGCTTGATTCCCAGCGTGGGGCATGCAGGAGGCAGCCAATCAATGATCCTCTCTCAACATTGATGTTTCTATCCTCTCTTCCTCTCTGAAATCAATAAAAATAT